ACTCCAAGGCTCAAGTGATCCACCTGCCTTGGCCTCCCAAAGTGCTGGGATTATAGGCATGAGCCACTGCAACTGGTGCCCCAGTAGATTTTATATGCTTTTCTCTGCTGTACATAGAAGAGAAATAACAGCAGAAATGTGGGGGCATAATACAGATTCTGGAAACACTCTCTATGTATTTATTAAGTCTACTGGAATATTTGTCACTACAAATGAAGGCCATACTCCAAGAAATGATTTAAAATTGTAAATCATGTAGTAAGTTCAATAGGATTTAATGGTTAAAAGTTCATATGCTTTGAGTTCTAGGCATTTTAGAATTTGTATAGAAAGAATTCAAGGTCTTAGTGTTTTAGATAAATGAAGCCATTTCCCTTTAAGTTATGGTCCAAGATGCATTCCTTAAAGACTGAGATGACAAATACCTGGTGTGTATGTATTTTTCCATGCCCTGTGCAGATGGCAGGCATCATTGACTGATACCAAAGCCTGAATTCTCCTCTACAAAGTTCTCTATGCAGCCAGCTGCTACAGTTCATCAGAATTAGTTCACTGGATGAAGTCTATGGACTCTCCGTGCTCTTAGGTATCTTTGTACTCATCCCTGCCATTTCTGGGAATGCTCAACAAAAAAGGTTATCATAGTTTCCCTTACAAAAAATTTTTTTAAAAAATGAATTCAAGAGGCAGCTGGTTTGTTCACCTAGTGCCTTTTTAGCCACCTCTCTGTTACGCAGAGTGTGGGTATTCTATTTGTCAGTGACTGATTGTCTCCCTTCCTTTTTTCCTTCTATCATGTGCATTTTGGTTTTCTTTCTTCATTTTCTTTAATGTTACTAAGAATATAAAACAGGAAGCCCCAGATTATTGGCTATTCTCTCTCTTATAAAGTTTGTTTGAAGTCATTTGTATAAATGGAAATGCACTGAGATTTTGATTCCCCCCCGCCCCGACACACACACCTTCAGGAAGACTGCTCTGCTATAGATCACTAGCAACCTTTACATTATCAAATCTTACAGGCTTTCTCTGTCCATATTTTCAGTGCAACAGGTGATACCTCAGACTGTGCCTCACCTTTTGAACTGTTCTTTCTTGGACTTTCTTTTCTCCTTCCTCTTTGTTTCTTCTTTGATTTCTCTACCTGCTCTCTTTCCTCTGCTGGCATCTTTAGTGGACATCCCCAAGGTTCTTCCCTTGGGTTCCTCTTGTATATGCATTACACCTGGATAATTTCATTCACACACCTGGTTTTTAACCATCACCTTTGTATAGATACCTCCCATATCCTTATCTCTATCACATCCTCTCTCAATAACCCAGACCTTTGTGTCCAGCAGCCTGTTGAATGCTTCCTCATGTGGCTCCTATAGGCATCTGGAGTCAACATGTTTTGTTTGTTCTAGACTATTTCTTCTTTCACAAGGCCAGCTAAATACTTGCCCCCTCTCAGATTGTTTCTGCTACCTCCATACATACACCATTATGAGCTTGTCAGAAAGCTTCTGTCTTGGAAAATCAAGTGTAAGACAAGCGCACAAACCAAGAACTATGGCTTAAAATTTAGGGACTTAAAACAAAACAGTAAGTGTATTGTCTCTCACAATTCTGGGGGTTGACTGGGCTCAACCAGGCAGTTCTCACTCTGGGTCTCATTCAGAGTCAGTTAGATGGTGGTTGAGGCTGGAGCTACTCCAAAGGCTTCCTCACTCAAGAGAAACCTACAGAATGGGAGAAGGCATTTGCAAACTGTCCATAGGACAGGGAATCAATAACAAGCCTACATAAAGAACTCAACACAATAGCAAAAAAAAAAAGCCCAAATATTTTGATTTTTTAGAATGTGTAAATGATCCGAAAGACATTTCACAAGAGAAGACATACGAATGGCCAACAGACATATGAAAAATGCTCAGCATCACTAATATCAGGGAAATGCAAATCAAAACCACAATGAGACATCATCTCACCCCATTTAAAATGGTTATTATAAAAAAAGACAAAACATAGCAAATGCTGGCAAGGATGAAAAGAAAGGGGAACGCTACTACATCATTGATGGGGTGTATTAAAGGACAGTACAACCATTATGAAGAGCAGTATGGGGGTTCCTCAGAAAACTAAAAATAGATCTACCAGATGATCCTGCAATCCCACTGCTGGGTACATACCCAAAAGAATGGAAATCCACATATCGGGGAGATATCTGCACTCCCACGTTTATTGTAGCACTATTCATAATAGCCAACGCTTGGAATTAGCCTAAATGTCTATCAGCATGCCAACCATTCTGTTCATCAGTAAGGGAAATATGGTATTTTATACATAATGATATATTACTCAGCCGTAAAAAAGAATGAAATTCTGTCATTTGCAGCAACATGGATGGAACTGGACATTATGTTAAGTGAAATAAGCCAGGCACAGAAAGACAAATATTTCATGTTCTCACTCATGTGGGAGCTAAAAGAGTTGACCTCATGAAGGCAGAGTAGAATGATGGTGAGAGTAGATGACCCATCTTCAGCAAGGGTCAGGGAGGGGTGAGGCAGGTACAGTAAAGGGAGGTTGGTTAATGGGTAAAGACATACAGTTAGAAGGAGTAAGTTCTAGTGATTGATAACACAGTAGGGTGACAATAGTTAACAGTAATTTATCATAGATTTTTCAATTGTAGGAAGAGAAGATTAGGAATGTTCCCAACACAAAGAAATGATAAACATTTGAGGTTATGGATTTCCTAATAAATACACATTACATGCATGTAGCAAAATATCACAGGTTACCCCATAATACATACAATTATTATGTATTAACACAAAATAAAATAATTAAAAGGCTTTCTCACTCAGTGGCTGGCAACTGGGGCCTCCACTTGGATGCTGGAATGGCACATCGGGTGGCCTAGATTTCCACACAGCATGGCAGCTGGGTCCTCAGAACAGGTATCCTTGGGAGGCCAAGGCAGGTAGATCATGAGGTCAAGAGATTGAGACCATCATGGCCAACATGGTGAAACCCCATCTCTACCTAAAATACAAAAACTAGCCAGGCATGGTGGCATGCACCTGTAGTCCCAGCTACTCCAGAGGCTGAGGCAGGAGAATCTCTTGAATCCGGGAAGCAGAGGTTGCAGTGAGCCGAGGTCATGCTACTGCACTCCAGCCTGGGCAACAGAGGGAGACTCTGAAAAAAAAACAAACAGGTATCCCTGGAGGACCAGGTGGAAGCTTAGTCACCTCTTACGGTTTACCCTCCAAAGTCTCTTAGTATCACTTTTGCCATATTTTCTGGCCTTCCCATCTTCAGGGGGACAGAATAGACCCTCCTCTCTGTAGGAGGCATGTCACTGTCCAGCATTGTTGAGCACGTGGAGAGTGTGTGCTGTTGTGCCTGGGTTGGAAAATACATCCTGCCACAGGCCTCCGACATGTCTGACTACTCCTCTGAGAACCACCTGGAATGCCACAGAAGCTTTCTGTTTTGTTTATTAAATTTCTTGATAGGTAACATATTTATATGATTCAAAAGTTAAGGAAAATAAATACGATTATATTCAATGAAAATATTCCCTCTCATCTCATTCCTTCTACCTCTGTCTCCCCATAGACAATCACTGCTATGTTTTCATATGCTTTCAGAGTTTATAGGTATTTTGATATTTCACCCTTTTTATACAAAACAGTATTTCATACTCACTGTTCTACATTTTGCTTTCTTTCATTTAAAATAATTCTGGAGATGACTTAGTACCAAAAGGTGTCTCTCTCTCTCTCTCTCTCTCTCTCTGTCTCTCTCTCTCTTTCTCTCTGTCTCCCCCCTCCCTTTCTCCTTCTCTCCCTCTCCCTCTCCCTCTCCCTCTCTCTCTCCTTCTTCCTCTCTCCCTCCCCTCCTCTCCCTCTCTCCCTCTCTTCCTCCTGTTACAATTGAGTAGTATTCTAATGTGAGCTTTACTTGAGATCACTAAACTAGTTTTCTGTGGGTAGGCACTGAGCTGTTTCCAGTCTTTTACCATTACAGACAACTCCGCAGTTAATACACCATCTTTGATGGGAGAGAATTAGGAAGCCTTCCTCAAGAGCTCAAGCCAACATGGTCATCCTCTTCCCACAGTGCCTTACACCTCATTCCATAATGGCACTTACCATGCCTCCTTTCACCAGACCATGGCTCCTAAGGATTATGGACTGTGGCCACTGTAACTTATTTCCATATGGCCTAGCACAGGGCACTCTGTGTTCACACTTTGCCGAGGAGGTCTGTGCCAAGGAGGGAAGAGGGCGAATGAGTACAGGCGTCTGGGGGGACCTGTGTTTCACCTCCTCCCATTGCATCTGTAACTGCATTTCTTAGTGGCAGTTACCATGTAAGGCCTGTGTGGTTTCTTCCTCAATCTGTCACTAAAACTGGAATCTGGTTCTACCCTGTTTTGCCTGGCTTCATGTACAGGGTGTATCCCAGAAGACTCAAGCCCAAAGCCTAGTTTCTGTGTGGTCTCCCAGGTCAGCCCAGAACGACTCCCTGACAGTTTATCCTGTTCAAAAATAGCACCAACAGGAGTTTAATATGGGGGAGGGTGCAGGTGGTACTCATCACACAGGCGTACTAAGGTATCCTTGAAGAATTGCTGTCCTGATAAAAATCCAGCAAGAGAATTCTCTCTTGTCAAGGAAGTATTCTTAAATCTCAGACTTTTATTGTTTTGCTAGGAAACGTATTCTTTAAGGAACATAATTTTTTTTTGTTAAATTTAGGAGGCAAAACTCTAATTTTCACAAGAAAGACTGACAGTTGTGCTTGTTGCTTTAAAGAAGGCTTTCTGGGCTGGCTTGTATTCCAGATTCTTTCTATTGTAAGAAAGAAAAACTTCACTGAAACTAAATTAAGCAAAATGAGGCGTATGGCCAACAAAATGGAAAACTTCTGGGGAATCAAGTACGCTGGGTCCAGGTTATCAGCTAGATGATGGTGCTAGGAATCTCACCTTCTCTGTCTTTCAGCTCTCATTACCGCTGAACTGGCTTCATTCTTTAAGGTAGGGAAGATGGCAGTTCCAGGCTTATGTGGAGTTTATGGCCCCTTATCTCAGAAGACACTATTTTTTCCAGTATCCCTATTGAAAGAGGATCAGATTTGCTCTTCAGGGATCATGTATTTTCTCCTGGACCACTCATTTGTCACAGAAAGTTGAAGTTTTCTGGCCATCTTGATTGACAGACCTTTCAGAATCATGAGGAATCGTAGTCTAGCAGTTTTGAAAACAAAGGTGCTGCAGGACTACACAGTAAAGCTGCCTACTGTGGATGGTGATTCCAAATTGGAAGTTCAGACCGTGAAGAGTATCTAACCGTGGGATGCTAGACCTGAGAGTTAAGGAAGGGTTCCTGTGTTAATCTCTACTTTCATATGTTTGATAGCTACTGTAATATTAAAGTGCTTTTAAAAAGCGCATTTAAAACATTTTTGGTTTGGGAACTCTCAACAAACAAGCCTTCACATTTCTGTGCTTACTCTCTGATTTTCTCACCTTCTGCTTTTCTTTTCATTGTGCAGAGACCTTAATCCTTACTTCCCTCTAAGCTGGGAACTGGGGGCGGGAAACACAGTAGTGGACTTTAGATTGGTGTGGTATGCTTGGAGGGTGCTGGGGCGAAGATAGTCAAGTGCCCTTAAATCCATGTTTCCAAGCTTCCCAGAACAAAAGCCTCAGAAAATTCCAGCCAGGGAGAGAAGAAAGTCTGTGCTGTGACCATAAGTCTACATCTCCCCCTCTCATGGGCAGTACTTGAGCCAGGGTCCGTGTGGACAGATCAGGTGAGGGCTCGGTAGGGTCCTGAATTCAAGTCATGTGCATAGTTAGAGGGAAGCCCAGGTGCTCAGAGGGTCATGAACTAGCTGCTGGAGGGCATCCTAGAGAGTATTTAGACTACCTTTTGTTTCACAGGTGAGGAAGCTGAGGTCAGAGGCATTAAGTGGCCCAAAATCACACAGTGAAATAGCAGGAGCAGAGCTAGGTTTGGGATCCCAGAATCTGACTTTGGAGTCTAGTACTGCATAATAGCTGTGTGGCTTTGAGTAAGCACCATTGCTGCTCTGAGCGCAGTGAGGTAGGCAGAATAATGGCCCCCCAAATGTCTACATTCTAATTCCCAGGACCTGTGAATGTGTTAGGTTCTGTGCTTTGGGGGCGTTAAGGTTGCAGATGAAACACTAAGCTTGGGGCAATTAGTTACAACAGCCATAGGAAACGAATGTGAAGGGGAGTAACCATGCCTCCCTCAAAAGCCTGGCATATATAGTCAAGGAAATCATGTCTGAAAATTACCCAGCAAAGATCCTGGAACATAACAGATGCTTAACAAATAGGAATATTGATGGGGGGGTCATTAAAAGAGAGGAAAGGGAGAATAGCTGATGGACCGGTGTCTGAAGAAGTAAAGTCTGTGCCTCTGTGGTAAGGCACAGGACTACTAGGAGGACGATAAGAGATACCAGAAGCCCCAGTGGGTGGCCAAAGGCACCCTTGGAGAACCTCTCTGCTCCTAGAGTCAGCAAGGCCTTCCTCCTCCAATTCTCCAGCACTTCCATCTCCAGCAGCACCACCGTACATCACAGGAAGCAGGAGCTAGGAGCCCACCTTGAGGATTTGGTAGGATGTAGGCCTCTCTTGGACCCCCCTGAGCTTCTGCCTGGCCATCACCCTAATGAGAGAAGAGAGACAATTGGCATTCATTGGCTACTGGAAGGAAGCCTGGAAGAGTTGTGTCTGGATACTGTGAGCCTGTGGAAATGAGAGCCCCCCATATCTCCAAGAGGAGGCCCCCACTAGAGGAAGTGCCACTTCCCATCCTGGTACACTTGTGGAAATGATGGAGCCCCCAGATGGGGGCTTTGCTTCTTGAGGACTTTGCAGGGACATTCACTTCTACCATTTGGAGTCACCACAACTGTGTCTGTGTTTTATTTTTCCAAAAAACGTACACTGATGTTTGGATTGCTAGTAGGTGATACCAAGGAACTTTTGTTAATTATTAGTTTTTTCAGGTGTGATCATATTGTGGAAAAGTAAGACAGTGTCCTTATTTCAGAAAGTGCTCTTTATTTTTGAAGTATTTACAGGTAAAATATCATGGTGTTTGTAATGTGTCTTCATATACTTAAGCGGGGGAAGGTGAAGTAAATATAGAAGTATGTCAATAATTTGGGGGGGACCTCTGTGTGGCAGTTCCTTATACTGTTATTGTTGCCCATTTTTCTTTTTAGAGACAGGGTCTCACTCTATTGCCCAACTGAATGCAGTGGCACAGTCATAGCTCACTATTATCTTGAACTCCTGGGCTCAAATGATCCTCTCCCCAGAACTCCGAAGTAGCTAGGACTACAGGCACACACCAACACACCTGGCTAAGTTTTTTTTAATTTCTTGTAGAGCTAGGTCTTGCTGTGTTATGCAGACTTGTCTCAAACTCCTGGCTACAAGTGATCCTTGCACTTCAGCCTCCCAAAGTGCTGGGAGTACAGGTATGAGCCCCCACACCTAGCCTTCTCCTTTTCTATATGTTTGCAATTTCACATAACAAAATGTGTTTTTAAAATTTTATTTTATTTTTTGTGATGGAATCTCACTCTGTTGCCCAGGCTGGAGTGCTGTCTCGGCTCACTACAACCTCAGCCCCCAGGTTCAAGTGATTCTCCTGCCTCATCTTCCCAAGTAGCTGGGATTACAGGCATTCACCACCATGCCTGGCTAATTTTTTGTATTTCTTGTAGAGACAGGGTTTCACCATGTTGGCCAGGCTGGTCTTGAACTCCTGACCTCAAGTGATCCACCCACCTTAGCCTCCCAAAGTGCTGGAATTACAGGTGTGAGCCACAGCACCCAGCTAAAAAAGTTTTTTTAAGTCATTCACTAAGTGCTAGGATATACTCAGACTTAGGCTGAACTAGACATGGCCCTACATTAGGTGCCATTTGATAGCGCAGATCTTGGGAACAGGCTCCAAGAAAGTCTTATCACCAGACCTGATTCTGAGGTCTCCTCGTTGCACAGGTGCTTTTGTTGAGTTCTTTATAATCAATCTGCAGTCGGGTAAATAAGAAACAGTTGGCTGAGTCTTTTACGACACCTAAAATCATTGAAAGATTCCTTGTGGTTTGCGCCTGTCCTTCCACAAACGGGTGGGTTTTTCCTCCATGGTGACATTATTCCTTTACTGCATTATGGTACAGAAAAAAAGGACAATGATATTTTGTGAAATATCTCATGATAAATACTACTTAATAGGCATTGCATATGTTACTTCAGATTCCCCAGCATGTTTTCCTTAGCAAATTCTAATCTTTTTTGGTGTTACACGAAAGTTCATTTTTCAGACTTAGCATCGAAACAGATAATCAGATTTCTTGATCTCCCCTTAGTCCCCTCTTACTTTGTATTTTTCCTTATTAAAATAGCCAGCTGGTGAAAAGGAGCAGACTTTGGAGTGTTTGTTGTTACCTTATCTTCCCTCTAACTGTAAGGTAACAATATTTCCAAAGACTTTACCAAATTTGAAGAACTGTGTTGAGTATCTTTTAATAGAGAAATCACTGCTATCAGTAGGCCAGGCTTTGTGCAAGTTCTGATTTAGCTCTCTAAATACAATGTTATCTTTAAATAAAACTCCATTTCTTTCCTGTAAGCCTTTGGACATGAATGCATAACAGGTGATCTTACTGGTAATTTCATAAATTCTTGGTGAAATGAATTGTATAAGATCAATATATATGCAGACTCATCACATTTTCTTGAGCTGTGAGGGACTTTAAGATGAATCTGGTACAGCTCTGTTAGTGGAGGAAACATTCATTTTAACTGTGTAGTCAATTCTCAATTAACAAGGGTAATGGAGTGGAAGGAGGTCACTGTTAATCAAAAATCATGGTGAAAATAAAATTGTAGTCAACACTCGATTTTCTGAGGGCTGATTAACTGGTCTGTGGATTGAGGCTAATTCCCAATGGACTATAGGATATCATCCCTTTGGTCACTGGCCAGCAGCTGCTCACCACTCGGCACCCACCCAACCTCTCTGTCCTCAGGAGGAGAGGGGCTTCCCAGGAGCCGAATTAGGCAGACCTAGTTGACACTGGCTGGATTGGATGGTGGTGGAGACCTTCGTCTTCGGAGGCAGCAGTGACCTTTTGGACTTGTCCCATCTACCCCTAGACAAGGGATCTCAAACTTCAAGAACTAGAACCACCAAGAGGGCTAGTTAAGACCCACGTTGCTGGGCCCCAGACCTGATTTCTGATGCCAAAGGTCTGGAGTGGGATCTAAAACATGCAGTTCTAGAAGCACCCAGGTGATACTGATACTGCTGATCTTTGAAAATTACTACTTTCTAAAATGTTTCTCATCCCTCGTTGCACACTAGAATCACCTGGGAAGCTTTTTAAAACTATGGATGACTAGATGTACCTTGACCGATTACATGAAAGGCTTGGGTTGTGTCACTCAGGCAGGGGTATTTTTGAAGCTTCCCAGGTGGTTCTAATGTGGATCTAGGATTGACAACCATTGCTCAAGAATATTTCCCACACCTCAAAATCTACATGCCCCAAGCCTCATGAGGTTTTTATCTTTACTCCCCCTATATATTTGTTTAATATTTTTATTTAAATCAGTTTTTTGTTATGTAAACAGATGTATTTAAAAAGCAAACCATGTATCCCTTGCATGTAGGAAAACTAGTTTCACAGGCCATAAATGGGGCATTGTTGTAATAACAAATATATTCTCTTTTGACATTTTAAGTTCTCACCTGAAACCATCTTGCATTCCATCGCACCTGGGGAATCTCTAGAACTGTGCTTTTTGATCTTCTTTCTGTCATAAAGGTGATAATATGCCCTATTTATGTTCTTCATGCACTCTCATGAGCTGTGCTAGCTTTGAGCACCCCGATCTGCTCAGCAAGATAAACAGGTCCAAATGCAGGTGAGAGCAACCATATTATAGAATGGCCTCGATTCAGGGATCATCTTTATTTACAAAAAAGTAAATTCATCAATAGGAGAACAGATAAACTGTGGTACAGCCAAACAATGGAACACCATTCAGCAATGAAAAGGAACAAACGCTGACACACGGAACAACGTGATTGAACCTCAGAAACGTTGTGCCAAGTACAACAGACACAGAAGACCATACGGTATGATTCTATTTATATTTAAAGTTCTAAAAGAGGCAAAATGTTGTCTATGGTGGAAAAACTTAGAATAGTGGCCGCTTGAGGGAGGGGCATGGGGGATTGAGTGGGAAGGGACCCAAGGGGATGTTCAGGGTGAGGGAAATGTTCTATATGTTGATGGGGCAGGAGTTACATGGTGCATGTATTTGTTAAAATTCATTGAATGGTGTCCTCAAGATCTATGCATTTCATTGTATGTTCAAAGAAAGGAAAAAATGCTAAACAAATACTGAACTCTGGTTAAAAATATGCATGCTGAAGTGTTTAGAAGTAAGTATGCTGCTGTCTGCGACTTATTTTGAAAGGCATCAAAAAAATAAGCTGGATTGCCAAATGGATAGAGGGGTAGATATATGATTAAAACAAAGTATTAATGGTAGAATCTAGGTGGTAGATATCCAGATGTTCACTTTAAAATTCTTGTTTGAAAATCTTTCATAATAAAGTTTGGGGGGAATTGATGCATACATTCAAAACAAACAAGTACTTCATCTGCATGTCTGAGCTCTAGAGTTTCTGCCACCCCAGGTCTTGCTAGGGGATGGCTCCTTGCAGAAGTCAAATAGGCCAGAGGCTTGGCGCGATGAGCTGGGGGTGCGAGGATGCGAGGGTGCGGGGGTGCGCCCTTAAGAGAAGCTGCTGCACTGGGAGAGCAGACTCTGAGCCTAGACTCCTCAGTGCCAGGCCCCACTGCAGGGGAGAATGCCAAGGGTATTTCCTTCCTTTCACTTGTGCTGCATCTTGGGGAGTCCCAGGACGGGTTAGCTGGGCAGTGAGCTCTGGGAAAGGATCCCTGCAGAAGCTGTGTTAGATGTGACCTGCAGATACTACCCGAGCTGTACTACAGAGAGGGGTGCTTCCTGAGCTCCTCCAACAAGCAGAACCCCAAAACATGCCACCCGTGATGCCCACTGGCTACGCTGAGACCAGAGAATGTGAAGGCTCGGGGTAGAGTGAGGGTGGGTTCCTGGGGCATGCACTTACTATTATGGGGATTAGGCAGTTCTGGTGGGCAAGAATGACATTCTCTGGGCTGGTAGGGAGCCCTCGAGGGAGCCCCACAGTCACTCAGGACATATCTCCATAGCACAACCCCACAACATGCCCATTGCAACCCAAGACACACTCTCACGGCACCACCCACCACACCTACCATGATACCCCCCACAGCAAAACCCTCCAAAGTGTACCCTCATGGGACATTCCCATGCTGTATCCTCCATAGCATACCCTCATAATCCATCCCCCACAACATGACTTCCACAACACATCGTGCAGCATGGCCCTCCTGTCACCCACCCTCACCCCACATTCATGGCACACTTCCCCATGAGACACCTAGAGACCTGTTCTCCATCAAACCCCTCCATGGCAGACTCCACACCACAGAATCCCCCACAGCACCCCACTACGGCATGTGCTTCTCTATGACAACCCGTGCAACACCAGCACATACCCACGACAGCCACAGCACACAACCCACTGCACACCTCCCAAGATACACTCCTGTTGAATCTTGACTGGAGGCCGCATTCACTTTGCTGCTGAAGAAAGAGTAATTTCTGACACCTGCTGCACTACCTGTTTTTACCTTCCTCTGCTTGGGGCAAATATCTTAAGATACCCAGGAAGGGGAACAACTCACTCTTGAGGGAAGAAGGTATAATTGATGTCTAAAGGATGGTGAATATGCTGATTACATTTATTTCCTACAAAGATGAATAAGCCCATCTTGAATACCAAAGATCCTGTGGTTTGGATGGTGGGGCAGACTGGCTTCAGTCAGGGCTTAGTTAGTTTCTGCCCCTCTAAAAGCAGCAGGCAGTGAAATGGCCTGGCAGGCCCTTCCCTACAGGAGCTTGAACTTGCCTGGATTTCCTAGTTCCACATCTTGGGATGGAGTCCCGAGCTTCTGTGTCCCCATCAGAAGCAAGATGATAGTACTTCTCTGCAAATTTCTGCAGTGTTTGCAAATATTAAAGATAAAAGTAATTATAGGCACAGTATACATACTGCCAAAATATGAGTCAGTAGACCTGAAAAGCGCCTAGTAAATAGCATGTTAACTTTTAGTTATTATTGATTTGTTATGCTTGATTTATTATTGTATTATTGTCATCCATGAAGGTTTAAATATAAAAAGAACAAGATTTGGAATTTCTGTAGCTACAGTGTTATGACCTTTTGTTTTTTACTACAAATAGCATTTTGGTTTTCATTTGTCATTAGATACTGGGTCTCACTCTGTCACCCAGGCTGAAGTGCAGTGGCACAACCATGGCTCACTGCAGCCTCAACCTCCTGGGCTGAACAGATCCTCCCACTTCAGCCTCCCAGTTCGCTGGGACTATAAGTATGCACCACTATACCCAGCTATTTTTTTAAAAAAAACTTTTTGTAGAGATGGGGGTCTTACTATGTTGCCCAGGCTGGTCCCAAACTCCTGGCCTCAAGCAATCTGCCTGCCTCAGCCTCCCAAAGTGCTGACATTTTGAATATTTAAGTAGCTGTTTGTTGTTTCTCCATATTTGACTGCCCCACTAAAATGAGTTTCATGAGAGCAGAGAGGGTATCCTCCATGCCTCTGTCCCCAGGACTGAGCACAGTCACACATGGAAGATGTTAGGAATTTGGACGGTCGTCACAATAACAAAACTGTTTAGCTCATTCAAGCTGCACTTGAGAAGCGAAGCCACCAACAGGACCTTCAAAGCCATGGTTGTGCTCTCATTTACATGCCACTCTGTCAGTTACTGTTACATGCCAATTAAATGCGACATTAAGCTGCCAAAAGGTCTGCAACTCTGCATGACAGAATCCTTTTCACTTCAGCTAGTGACCTGCATTCATTGCGTCCTATTCATTAATTATCAAGGTTTGTCCTCGACCTCATCCCCAGCCACCCCTGACCAGGGCAGTAAGGCAGCGAGACATGGCCCTGCCGTGGGTCTTCTTTAGGAAATAGCATGGCTGAATTTTAATCATATTACCAAATATTGTAGTTGCTGGGACGTATCTGAGTTAGTGACATTCTAATCTTTTAAAATTCCTGCTAGAATCAGAAAAAGCAAGATCTAGATCCCAGGAGCGTGAGGGGATGGCCAGTCACGTACAGCAGCCCAGTTTTCAAGGAACCACTCTTGGAAAACCCGCACCAGCAGCAATTCTGCCACCAGCCCAGCTCACCCCGGGTTTGCTGCAATCCAGCCAGGTTTTAGGTAAATAATCACAATGAGCAAATGTGCCCATCTGGAAGGCCTGGTCTGACACATCCCACAAGCTTACAATTTGGTTTTCAAACTCTTGCTATCATATTGCCATTGGCAAAAGACGCCGCAGTGCTTTCTACTTCCCTCCCTCTGTGGCGCGGGCACTTCAGTAATTTAGAAATGCTTCTTCTTCTTCATTTAGAGAAGTAAAAATAATTATAATAGAAAATGGGTAATTTGCAGCTACAATGCCAGGCTGATAATCAAAAACTTGTAAATGGAAACATGAGCATATGTTTATCACTTCTTGAAATTAGAATGCAATTGAAAGAGGCTGTGGCCTCAGAGAGAGGGCATTATGGAAGGGAAGGCAGGCTTACTTGTTAGTTGGAGACCTGCCTGCTAATGAGGCTTTTAAGTTGCTGTTGCCTCAGGAGCAGTGAATAAAGGAAAGCATCCCTGAGAGCTGCTCAGCTTGTTCAGGAGACCCTCAGGTAATCACTTACAGATTGATCCCTCTCCTGCATACAACATGCAGAGGCTTACCAGCCACCACCATCAGAATCAAAGTGGACCTTGTCAACACAGAGCATAAGACTCTTGGCAAGCTGGCCCAGGCCTCCCATGTACCTTAGCCACTCCTCTGACCCTGTTACTGCCTCAGAATGCCCTATGGCCTCTCACATTCCCAGGCTTTTGCAAATGCTGTTTTCTCTTCCCAACTCATTTACCTGCCTAACTCCTAGTCATCCTTTGAAACTCAAAACACCTGTTACTTCTTCCTAGCATTCCCCCACTCTTAATTTGACTGGGCTGAAGGCTCTCCTCTGCCCACCAGGGCTTCCGCTGTTTCCAGCTCTTCCCACCGTGGGCTGTGATCATCCTTAGCCTTTCTGTCTCCCACCCAGCAGAGACAGGTGAGCCTCTAGGCATGACTGTGGTATGTCTTTCTGTCTCCCTTGTTCCTGGTGTACTGCCTGACTCAGAGTAGCTGCTATTTGATGTTTGTTGAATGAAGGGATTATTAATGGCGGTCAAGGACTTTAAAACCATTTTAAAGTTTGTCTTTGAAAAGCACAGTTATGACATAGAGTCATTGATAACATAAATCCCATAATGCATTCCACAGCCAGTTGGGCTGCTTGGGTCCTCTGTGTCTGTGTTCATTTTTGTGATGGACTTGGGGGGGTCATGAGTTAGGCCTCCCAGTTTTCAAATCAAAGGCAAAATTAGCCCGAGAAACATAATAGTTTTGCCTCTGTACCATAATCAGGACAGCAATGTGTTTGCTGCTTTGCATCTTATTTTGGTGATATTGTTAGAAGTACTGAAGGACACACAAATGTTTTCGGCGTCTAAAGGAGGTCAGTCTTATCAATGAATCAGCTGTGAGCCCAGGAAGCAAGTTTTCTCACTTTTGCCCTTGCTCTGTAACCCAGCGTCTGGCTCTCTCTCCCTGGTGGGCCCACAGGCCTGCCAGTGAATGGGCATGTCTCCCAGTACCTTACTTTTTCATCACCATCCTCATTCTGAGTCAGTTCCAGCCTCATAGGTCAGTTGGGACACATTATTTACATTTAAATCAGCCCCCTGGTTTGAAGTTGACTTTATTTTTATCTGCAGGTTAATTGCCAAATGCTTAGCTTTTCAGCTAATCAGGTACCTCTCATGCTCCTAGCCACAGGGAAGTAAAGGGGAGCCAAGTGCGAATCCTGCCTGAAAGATGTCATTCATACGACATGGCAAGCATGATGGTTTTGGGAACTGTCCCCGTGTAAGACTGTGTGTGTCCTGTACTCTACTAGGACCTGGACACTGAGGGACAAGAGGGAGTAGCAGAAGCACTGGTCAGAGGGCACTACTTGCCCTTGACTAGGTCTCATAGCTTGTCTCCAACCTGCTGACCTATGGGATGATGAGGCTAGACTAGAAAATGTTTCTGGTCCCTTCCACCTTCCTCTCAAATGTTGCCACACCCTAGGTCTCAAGCAGTGAGTGAATTTGAAGTAGGGGAAGAAGGTCTAGGCAGCCAGGATTTGCTCGAGGAGTTTCTGGAGCTAGAGTGGGGTTGGGCTGTGGGGAACCTCATTTATCCATTCAGCCAGCATTTCCTAAAAACCTGGCTTATGTTCCAGCCCCATGCTAGGCACAGAGACCATGAAGGCAACAAACTGAGCCCTCTCAGGCATCCTCTTGTCCCCACCACATGGCTACTACACTTAGCAGTCAGTTGTTTCCAAAAGTGTCGGGGATGATTGCATTTGCTGATATAAGCAGATAACTTTATTAAATATGATGTAAACTAATGAACTATGAGTATAAAAGGAAAGAATAGGTTTTGCTGATAAATGATCTGTTTGATTGCTCAGAAAATAACGGCTTCAACTCACATAAGCATTTCATAACTTCTGATTTCCATTAATTTTAAATAGAAGTTTTTTTAATTTAGGGAATTTTTAATAATATCACCTTTTGCATTCCATGACATATTGAGAGGTGTAAGATATTTTGCATTTGAATTAAAACACACACACACACACACACCCCTGAGTCCCATGTTATTTAACAGATGACCTCTTAGGAGCCATTTAATCCAAACATAAGTATGTTTATAAAATGGAGCAGGCAGAGAAAATGACAGAATGATACCAACAGAATGACATTTATGAAGCAATGACTCCTTAAACTGGAACTTATGGTACCCCTTCTCGCCGCCAATCTATCCTTTTCTTTAACATTTTAACTCCATTATTTCAATAAAATGAGAGTAAAATACTTATCATGAAACCCATTTTGTACTTTGAATCTTTTTAATCCTCTCTTAAGTGAATGTGCCTCTCACTGGTGAGGCGCATGGAACTCCTGCTTTTCTCTGGTCGGTTTTGCTTCTGGACTTCCAGAAATACAGCCAAAGCTGTTTGCTCTCACAGAGGCAGAGCTGCATTTGGCTCTGTGGTGATTCCCAGCTTCTCTCAAGGAAGAGAAGAGACTTAGCTTATTGGATCTCAATACCCTCTCCCAGGGGAAGAGGCTGCAGGACATCTGTTTGCTTTTGCTTTCAAATTAAAGGGGATTTAATTTGGTTTTGATATTTTTGTAATTTCACTTAAAAACATTGCACTGTTGGGAACCTTAGAATCAAAGCAGTGAAGTCCTCATGAGGGCCACTATTAGGGCCACGGAGAAGTGCTGTTGCCACCCATAGGCTGCTCTTGCTCACACCCAGGTCCTGAGGGGCCACACTACACAGCCCAGCAGATACCTGGAGCACCCGGCAGGGTGGGGTCGAATCTTAGCTCCCTCCTCCTTGCTGTGCAACCCTGGGCAAACAAGTTCAGTTCTCAAGTCCCAGTTTCCTCATCTGCAAAAGTGGAGTAATAGCATCTGAAATATATGTGCCCTTAAATGGCTGGAAATATTCGACAGTGCAAATGCTTCTTCTTTAGCTTTCCTTGGATTGTTCACCCAGAGCCATTTAGCTCTGAGTCCCCTTACATACAGTGAGGTCGATCATCTGGGTACCCACAAAATATAAGGGGGATTACAGCCCCTGGCTGCTGCAGGGCAGTGAGGCTGAGAGTCTTCTGGGATGCCATGCCTGGCCGGGGCCCTGGCTGGCTAAAGGTAGACCCCAGGGCAGGAGGGTCTTCCCAGGGCAGAAGTCTTCCTCCCAGCATCACCTTCAGCCTAGGCTCTGGGGCCTCTAGGAGAGGACCTAGAACTTTATCTGGCAGGCCTGAAGCTGGGTGGACCATGAGGGCTGGACACAGGTCAAGGAGTGGGCCCCAGATATGCTGCTCAGTGAGGAATGGAGGACTTAGGTACCCAGGCTGTCAGTTTCCCTCTGCCAGGGAAGGGAGCATGGAGCATTCAGAGGAACACTTACTTTGGAATAGCAGAGAAGGCAGGAAATAGCTGGAGAAGGGGCACTGAGTTATGGCTGGGAGAAGCTTGACTAGGCCATTAAGGGGGTGGGATAGGGTAGGGGAAGTAATTAAGTAGGCCATTTTGTTCCCCTGTGCAGAACCTGGGACCCTGAGGCCAGGCCTCTAGGGATTCACTCTGCCCTCAGACCTGCCAGCTCTCACACAGTCTGAGCTGTACCACAGATGTGGGCCACCTTAATTCCAGCAGCTGCCTTTGATATGCACCCCTTGGTTTTCAGGAGTCTGGAATCTCACCTTGTCTGAGGGAGAAGCAGTTCAAAGTCGTTGGCAGTGGTCAGCAGCATTATCTGCAGATAAAGCACCAACCACACATTGTTAGCTTCTCTTCTCTTACTATCAGACAGTAGGAAGCCTTCCCCTCTCAGAATAACCTCTGGCTTTTGAATCTTTCGGCATGAATATATATGGAATCATTGGTGGAGTTTTTCGTCTGCTAGTTTTCCATTCAGATTAGTTGGAAATGTACCTCCTTGAGCAAAGGCCTCATACAGAAACTACTTTGCAAAAAAAATGGAGGCTTGGGAAACCTAAAATGAAAATCATATAACGAAAGCCATTCTTTAGTCTCTAACTCCTGAGTGTTTATGCTGTGTGGTTATTTATATATTATACTTTTTACCAAAGTTCTTCATACAAACAGGCCTGAGTGGGTCTCTATCTTCTTACCATTTCTTACAAACATTATACTTAAGATGTCATGCCAACTCCATGCTCTTATTTTCCAAAGTATTTTCCTTTTACAATAGAAATGTTCATATTGGATTAAATTAGAAAGTTATTTTATTCCATGCCACATGTATATATACATGCCATGTATATATGCCACATTTTCTTTAGTCTATCATTGATAGGCATTTGGTTTGGTTCCAAGTCTCTGCTATTATAAACAGTACCATAATAAACATGTGTCTTTATAATAGAATATTTTGTAATCCTTTGGGTATATACCCAGTAATGGGATTGCTGAATCATATGGTATTTCTGTTTCTAGATCCTTGAGGAATCACCACACTGTCTTCCACAATGGTTGTTGTAACTAATTTACACCCCCACCAACAGTGT